AGGGAGCCCGATGCGGGACTCGATCCCAGGACCCTGGGATCATGACCTGAGCCGAAGGCAGACGCTTAACGACTGAGCCACCCAGGCGCCCCGGGCCTCCTTGTTTTAACTCCTACCCCCTGCACACGCCGCCCGCTCTTCCGGGAACGAGCCCCTCTCCTTCCGAGTTCCCCAGCTGCTTCGAAGTCCCCTCGTGCCGCCGCCCCCTCCCTGCGTGTCAGCCCGTGAGGGGTGTGCGGAGGGAGGCGCCTGCCTGAGTCAGACAGCTACCTGCCGGCTTCACCGGGTTCGCACTAATTAAAATCACAGGACGGCTAAATTTAATTTTTGACACCTGATAAATGCCAGACATCGATGGATTTTTCATTAACATACTGAATAGCAGTATCTTTAAGTCACGGTTACGAAGACACTTCCCTAATTTCTTGGAGGCGGTTAATCTTCCGTAGAGACATCAGGAGGGATTGGATTTCCTTTCTCTCTTGGCTCTTGTCAGGTCTGTGGTGTAAAATGGCTTGAAAACAAGTAATTGCCCCGGACGGCGATGTCTGTTTCACGTCTCTCAGGAAGTGCGCGAAGGAGACCGAGCAGGTGCCGCGGGCTGGGCGGGGTGGCGGCCCCCACCCCCCGGTCTCTCCTGAGCGGTGGGCTTCGATGTCAGACCCCATTCCGTGACTGGATCTGGGTCCCTCCCGAGTCTCCACAGAGATGCCTGTTGAATTTGTCAGGCCGTATTTGTGCACTAATAAGGGGCCATCTTTTTGAATCCAACTCAGCCCTAATGGCCCTAAAGGAGATGATACCTGAACAGAAGCCCACAAAGTAAGAAGGGACCCGGAGACCGCTCCCGAGGCTGGTTCCGGCCACGTCTCTGGATCTGTGCTCAGCTGGCAGGTGCACGTCACCCCATCGCCTCCCCCAGGAGGCGGGAGCGTGAGCGGGCATACGGGAGCACACGGCGGGGAGAAAAGCAGTCAAGGTGTTGGCAGCCCCGTTCCGAAAAAGCCAAGCGGGAAGCAGAACCTGAGGTTGGCTCAGGGTCGTGTTAACAGATGGTGGAGAGAAGCCAGAACACCTCGCCTCTCATTTGGTGCCCGTCACCAGCTGGGAAGACTAATCTTCCCGTAAAAGGCTAACGCATCTCTCTGTTCAGAGGAAACTGCAGACCAGGGTGTGTGTGTGTGGGGGGGTCTGGACAGGAGCCTCGAGTCTGGGTGTTTGGTTGCAAGATAGGTCCTTTCACATCCTGCAGGCAGCAAGGAGTTAACCCACTGGCCCAAGGGATGGGGGTCAGAGCATGTTACAGGGCGCCGTGGTCCTTGGCGTATCCGTGTGCCCATTCCACAAACTCCTTCTTGGTCTGCACGATTCCTGGGCGGTGCAGTGGGCGTTGGTCTTGGAGCAAGAAGCCTGGACACACTTACTCAGATCTCGGCTGCGTCCGTCACAGTCCCTGGACAGGTCACAGCCCCTCTGCTGTGGACAAAGGCCGCTGGGTCGCAAGGAGCGGAAACTCACTCAGGCCAACTCGGGAAGGCCTGGCTGTGGGGGGGCTCAGAAGGCAAAGGGGCGGGTGCTGGGGTGGCCCAGAGATGGGCGGCCGTGGGAGGCAGGCCCTCTCCTTGGGCTGGAGAAGGGTAGGGCGGGCGAGGTGGCCCGAAGCCTGGAGCAGCACTGCGAGGGGCAGGTTCTTACATGCCGCCGCCCCGTTACTTGTCAGCAAGGGGCCTGTCCCTTTGGTCGGGGATAAGGGATAACTTCATAGAGGATGAAGGACAAAGGGCCGAGGGTCAGGGCCGGGTGGGGGCATCGGCCGAGCTTGGGGAGGGCTGCTGGGTGTGGCCCACTCGTGGGTTGACACTCAGCTCAAGCCAGGCAGGAGCGGGGCGGGCTTGCGGCTAGATGGTCCCTATGTCTGCACAACAAACAGCCACACATGCATTTGGGATCGCATGGCTCCCGGGGGTCGGCTGGCTTCCCTGGCTCCCCTGCCCAGGGCCTCGCGAAGCTTCCATCAGGGTGTCCGCAGGGGGCTGGGCCTCCCGGGAGGCGGCCGTTCTTCTCCAGGCTCGTACAGCTGATGGCAGGATCCGTTTCCTTACACCCAAGGCTCACGGCACCTGCTCTTTCAAGGCCAGTGGGGGGCGGGGGACGACTCCGACCGTGTGACCCTCTTTCAAGAGGCTCGCCTGATGAGGCCAGGACCACCATGGTAATAACTCTTGATGACCGCCTGGACCAGAGTGTGGCAGAAGGGCTCGACCTGCGCGCCCCCTACCTTGTTCTCCAGGGAGGCTCACTCCTGGGACTTGCCTGCATTGCCAGGAGGAAGCTCACGCCTCGCCGATGCTCTGGATGGACACAGCCTCCCCTGGCCACCCCCGCGGGGTCATGAGCCAGCCCTGGCCGTGTCCTCCCCTAAGCTTCCGCACCTGCCCTCAGCCTGAGCACGCTGGACGTGAGGCACTCACGTGCTCAGGGGTTCATTCCCTCGTCTGTCCATGCGGCTGTGGGCCCTGGACTGGATTGTCTGAGTTCTGACACTTGCTAGCTAGCAGTGTTCACCCGTCTATGCTGCAGACCTTCGCTGGAAACTGGAGGGACACGGTCCTAACACCTGCCTTGCAGGGTCATGGTGAGAATCCAGGGGCTGCCGAGGCCCGGTCCCGGCACCTGGTCGGCTCTCCGCGCCTGTGAACGGATCTGTTATTGTTTGTTGTCACCGGTGTGTGCTGGGGGAAGAACAGCAGATGGTCCTGGGGAGTTTTAAACAAAGGTGCGAAGAAAACACGAAGTTTACATGTCCATTTCCAGAGGGCTCGCGTCCCACAGGGACACAAGGTGTTTCCTGCACAGTTGTTTCCTTATTGGTTAACGATGTGTCATGCCTGCTCCTTCTGCTCATAAACTTTTGATCATTTATTCCATCCCCCGAATTCCTTGGAGGCATGCTCTGCATGTTCTCATCCTGCAGAGGAAGAACCCTAGGCTCCGAGAGGGCAGTTACATCTTCGAGCCTGCACGGCTGATGCAGGGGTCACACTCGAGTTCGTGCACGTCCACACCATCCCAGGCTCCTCTCCGGAGTGACCCCGGACCACCTGGGAGGCCCCAAAGCCCGGGCAAGTCTGAGGACACCTCCCAAAGCCCTGGGCGGGACTCTGCATCAAGAGGGGCTTTCAGGTTCAAAGGAGCAACTTCAACTTTCCGCTTTATTCTGTAAGAAAGAAAAGCATTCGGGCAGAAATGGGATGATTTCATCCATATTTGCCAATTTCAAACGAGTTCTCAAAAGCTGGTGGCGTCCGTTGGTGGCTGGAGTGTGTGGGGTGTCCAGGAGCTGTAAGGGGCACGTCAGGGGCCCACGGACGTCTCCTGCTTCCTGAGCAGGGAGGAGGGTGGGCGGCTTCGGGCCGGGATGTGCGGAGCCTCCGGATGCAGGCGGACGCACCGGATTCTGGACCTCCCGCCTTTCCGAGGCCGTCTTGTCCAGGCGGGAGTCTCTTCTCCTGGCCCTGGGCTTGAGGATTGGCAGAAACCTCTCATGGGCTGCACATCGGGAGGCTGTCCTCATCAGCTGGCGGAGAACGGGGCTCTTGTTTGTTCTGCCCCGTGAGGCTGTCTCCGCTGGAGCCCGAGAGACAGAGAAAGGTCACCGATTCATCCGACTTCTCCGAGCACAGCTGAGTTTAAAGATCTAAAGCTGGGGTTAGCAAACATTGTGCAGGGCCAGAGAGTAAATATTTCCGGCTCTGCAGGTCAGGGACATCTACTGTGGCTTCTCTGGGCAGCTCGGGAGCAGACGTGGGTAATAGGCAAATGCACGAGCCTGGCTGTGTTTCCATAAAGCTTCCCTGGACCCTTGACAGAGCCTGAAATTTTCACTTCGTATCATTTTCACATGTCATGAAATACTCTTTTGATTTTTTTTGGCCAACACATAAAAACGTGGAAACTATTTTCGTGGGTAGTAGGAATGCAGGTGGCGTGCTGGATTGGATCCATGGGCGGTAGAGTGCCGAGCCCTGCTCTAAATGAGGAAGGGGCTTCCCGTGCCCTGGTCCTGGCCAGCAGACCCAGGCCAGAGCGGCTCTCGCGGGCCACACTTCCCTACAGAGTTGGAGGGGGGATTTCTGCTCAAAAAACATTTCCTTGGGTCTCTGGGGAGGAAGGAAACTTCTAGATGCTGGAACGGGGCGTTTCGTAAAAAAGGCACATTGTTATTTTTTTAGCAAAAGATCCAGATGTCAGGTGTCTAAATACCCGCAGTCTCCCACCCTTGCATGTGACACGTGGAGGACCAGCTCCCGGGAGCCCTGCCGTGTGAGCTGGACATCCGGGTGCCCCTCCCCGGATCTGCGGGGATTCCCAAGGGGACCAGGTGTATCCCCCTTTATGCTTTGACTCTTAGCTGTGACCCTCCTTCTGTCCCTCATCAGAGTGTGTGCAACATTTCTCCAAAATGCCGTCCACGGGGAAGTGTTCCACGTGTCCGGATGGGCTGACGGTTTGGCCTGCTAGCATGCTCCGTGGTCACCACCCTTCCTCCCCCGAGTTATGATCTATGGGGTGGCAGACAGGGACGCAGCACCCTCTAACGCACGTCAAAGTGTGGAGGCCCTGGCGTGGGGGGAACCAAACCTGTGGGTCTACCAGATGGAGAGAGGTCGGGCAGGCTTCCTGGAGGAGGCGTGGACAGGGCTCCGGACATTTGGGGAGGATTTTTCACGGAGAAGGAAGGGGAAGGACGCTGGAGGGGGAGGGGAGACCTGGAGGCAAAAGCAGGTAAGTCCCTGAAGGAGTCTGTCCTCATGGATGGATTCATCCGTCTGTTGACTAAATTCATCTTTTCCTTTCTTTCCAGAAAGAAAGCTATAATTAGGTTTCTGATCTGTGCTTCCTGGAGCCACGGACGTATTCTGAATCAATGTTCTTGAAGCATTAATTTCCCTCAAGTGCCAGAAACAGCAGAAAGTTAAAGTATTTTATTTAACTGGATCTGTGAGCAATGGTACACATTCGCTGAGTGAGGCACGGGAACTGAACGTTCACGAACTGTTCCCGTGGTTAATGCGAGCAAACACCTGTCTAGACGTACTAGCTAAGGGAGCGGCGGAGGACAGCTTGCCCGTGGTGGACATTTGTGGTAGGCACCCATCCCCCTTTGTCTCGCGGGTCCTGGTTTCTGGAGAAACAGACTCCCCCCGCAGCTCCCGTTCGGGCACCTGATGGCCTGAGATAGTCAGTGCATCCCGTCCCCTGGTCACAGTCCAGGGGGAGCACCTGAGCTGAGCTGGTCCAGGGACAGCGAATGCCAGTGGCCATGCAGGGGAGGTGGGGACAACAGCACCCTCTGTTCATCTGAACAGGATGCCGTGGACAGAGGCTGCAGCCCCACGGTTGAAACAGCCAAGGAACAGCAGAGGAAATGGTGCCAGGACCCCGAGGCCACCAAGAACGTCTGGATCGAGCTGTGCCTGACGTCTGATTCCTCGGGAAGTTTTGTTTCAGTGAGACCATAAGACTCCGTTATTGTTGACGCCAGGCTGGATTAGCTTTTCTAGCCCAACTGGGACAATTTTCAAGCCTGGACTGGATTCACGTCCCCCCTTCTGTAGAGACTGGGGAGTACTGGATTGAGAGTTTGAGAACTCAGCTGGTGGTGTCTCTAGCCGTCCCAGTCTTGGGCTGGCTGCATCAGTAACAGCCTGGATCCATTAAAATATATTTAGTATCTGCGTGCAGAGAGAGACTGGTAATGCAGAAGAGAATCAGCAGCGTGGGGGGTGGGTTTGCTGCTGCGGGGACGAGAACTGAGAAGCAGCTGTGGGTTTTACTGGGATTTGGAATTAGAGCCAAACATAAACATCCCCCTGGGCGTGCCAGGTAAGGGCCGACGGGGAGTGCGTGGCTCCGGAAAACCCAGCCAAGCTGCCGAGGGACACGGGCTTTGGGAGACCAGCGTCTTCGGGGCCCCAAGGAGGCCGTTCTCCCTCTCCTCCTGGTTCTACAAGAAGCATGTGATCGTGGTGGAAATTATAGAAATTGAGAAAAATGCAACAAAGAAAGTAGCCAGCATCCAAACTCCCCAACTCAGGCAATCTTTTTTTTTTTCTTAATGCAATTTTATGTCGTGGGTATTTTTGTCCCCGGAAAAATGCCTCGGCCGTCCCTTTCAGCGGCTGCAAAATATTTCACTGCAGGGATTTTCCCCTAAAAGCCGTTTTTCCTTTGTTGAACATCTAAGCGATTTGCCGGTTACTTTCTACTCGAAATTGTGTTGTGAGGAACTTCTTAGAGCAAAGTCTTTGTCCACATCCCCGGCGACGCCCCGAGGCTGGACTCCCACAGGGACAATTACCGAGTCAGAAGATGTGAATATATTTGAGGTTATTAATACATTTGGCCAAGCCGTTCCCCCCGGCCATGAACTGGTGCTGAAAACAGCAAACTTTCAAAGTGGGTCAGCTCTGTGATCAGAGGTGGGCGAGCCAGTCACAATCAGTTAGATTCAAGGCCTGAGCCACAGACTGAACCTCAGCTCCACGCAGCTGCCACGATGGGGGTCCCCGGGGCGGGGGAGGATGTCTCTGCCGACGGGCTGGGGCTGCAGACGGCCACCTGCGGAATATCCACAGGGGAGGGGACTCCCTCCCAACAGAGGCTTAACAGGGCCAGTCTGTCCAAGCTTCTCCTGCCTCTCTCTGTGGTCCCCCCCAGCCCCCCGAAGTCCTCGGGACCTGCTGACATCCCGTTTCCTTGGATGCGGCCCCAGTGATCTCTGGGACACGGTTCATGGCTCTGCCGGCTTCCGGCTGCCCGAAGTGCCTACCTGCCCAGCCCAGGAATGCCCCAGGATCCCTCCACCCCAGCCCGCCCTGCTTCCTGGGAGTGCAAAGGACACGTGGCAAGCCATCGTGAGTCCAAGGGGCCCAGCCTAGGGCGCTCTGAGCCGTAGCCCCAGCCAGCACGGCCCCTGCTGCCTGGCTCGAGGACTGCAGCACCCCGACCTCCGTCTTCAAAGCCGGGACGGTGGCTCGTGTCCTTCCCACACAGCCACGTGTCTGGTTTTCTCCTGCAGTTCCCGCTCTGCCTTCCAGGACCCCGTGATCACATCGGGTCCACGCAGGACGTGCAGAGTAGCCTTCCTGCCGCACAGCAAGCTGATTGGCATCGGCGACCCCCCTCTGCAGTGCATCTGAGAGCACGATGTGGGCATCTCTGGGGGGCCGCGATTCTGCGCATCACAGGGCCGTCTCTGGGCGGGGGACAGGAAGAACGGCAAGGACTTCGGGGCTGAAGGCAGGTGAAAACTGTGGTCAACTGGACCGGACGGCGGGACCTTACAAAGCCTGGGGGGTGGGGGCGGGGTCTGGTGCCTCAGAGACGGTGTCACTCGGAGGACTGATGTGAGTAACTGACATGCCTGGCTTCCAGGACTGGGTCCTCCCCGCACCCGGACAGGTCTCTGTGAGGACTCAGCCACGCAGAGGCTGGCCCTCTCACCTCTTCTGGAACCCTTAACGTCGCTGCTTGGGAGGCGCTCCCTGGAGTTGGGAGTCGGTGACTGGGGACGGGGAACGTGGCTCGGCCCCCCATCCCTGCGTCTCCAGGGGCCTCCGGCAGCAGTCACGTGGTAGAAGTCATAAATCACAAGGGGGGGTCTCAGCCCCGGAATGTTCCAGCAGAAACCGCTCCAGGGCACCTCCTCTGAGCCACGGGGCCGCGTGTCCGATGGTGAGGACGGTGGTCTCCTGGGGGTGGGGGTTACAGGTCAGCACGTGTAGTCAGGCGCCCGGGTGATAGGTGCGCAGCCAGGCTCGGCGGGGGCCCGGGGGACCCAAGGTGCATCAGGGAGTTAAGTCCACGGGCTCGTCTGTGTCTAGGAAATGTGCACCAAGTCCCCGGTCAGGGCCTGCTGCCTCCCATTACCGCTCTGTTCCTCTCCGAGTGGGACTTTATTTTGACATACGGCCCCTTCGCAGGAGGGAGGGGCTGACCCGGGCCGCCGGTGGGTTTTATAAACAGAAGCGGGTCCTCGGAAGAGAGCTGGAACTTCGGGGTGGGCCGAGTGGGCGGCACTGGGGACCCACGCAGGAACCCGAGCCCCCGGGGCGGCCGCTGTAGCAGGATCCCTGCTGGGGCTTCTCGGGAGAACAGAATCATGCTCAGGGGCCAAGAGTAAACTGTGAAGTGCCTGGCAAACATCCGCTCTCTGGTGCTGTCTGCCCCGGCCTTGTGGGTCCCTGCGACTGAAGCCCCTGAGCAGCGTGGGGGGCGCTGGCCGGGAAGGCTGAGGCCCACCTGAGGCCCAGAGCTGCTGGACTGGACCCGCTCGGCTTCCCCGGCCGCTCTTACCCCCTCTCTCGGGAGCGCGAATTCAGGCCGGGGCAGAAGGAGCAGAAACAGGACGCAGTGGACAACCCGTCCGCCGCGGCATTCTTGCCCCGGGCAGGCCCTGACCCTTTGGAGGAGCCGAGAGCCCGGCCCCGCCGTGGGCACCGCTGCTCGCCGTAATTTGGGATTTCTTCCACGTCTCCGGGGAAGGCTGGAGGGGTTTTGATGTTCCTCCTACGATTTTCCAGCTTGCGTCTCTTCTCCTCAATAAAAGATTGGGCTTACTCACGGTGGTGAGCCAAAGTGAAAAACAGGTGCAGCGATGTAATATTTCTCTTTAATTACTGTTTATGGAAAAAAAAGCACATGAGTGTGGAAATTAATTATTCCATATTGTTAGACCAGGATGAACTACTTCCTAATTTTAACTGTGGCTTTTATGTCGAGATGGTTGCTCAACATCTTATTAATATGAGTAAATATTAACAAACAGTTCTTATGTCCCCGCTGCCTCTCCGGCCCCCTGCCCAGCCCCCT